TTATTCATATAAATTGTTAAATTTTCATTTAAAATTTATATTCAAAAGTTAAAAAATAAATTAAATTTACTAAAAATGAAGAAAAAATATATTTATGCAAAAAAGTATTCTTAATTTGTATCTTTAGATAGATTTTTTTTTTAATATTTCCATGCACGTATAATCAAGATACAGTTCTTAACCTTTTGTTAAATTTTCATTTAAAATTTATATTCAAAAGTTAAAAAATAAATTAAATTTACTAAAAATGAAGAAAAAATATATTTATGCAAAAAGGTATTCTTAATTTGTATCTTTAGATAGATTATTTTTTTTTTAATATTTCCCTGCACATATAATCAAGATACAGTTCTTAACCTTCTTCTTTTTTTATTTTCCTAATTTATAGTCATTTTTTTGTTTGATTTTAATTAATACATTTAAAGAGAAAAAAAGGTTTTTTTTTTTTTATCTCATAAAATTTTTAATGGGTGCAAATTGGCACCAAAAAGTGGTGGACGTCCCGATAAAAAAACACAATGGGTTAAAGTAATAGAAACAATTGAAAAGAGAAATTTGATTTAGGAGAAATAATTTAGAGGTAATTTTTTTGTATTTTTTTTTTGTTATATTTTTGTAGAATTTTATATGTTATTTAAATAATTAATTTTTTATTTATTTAAAACTTATAATATTAACTATATTTATTTATTTAATAACATTTAAAAATTATATAAAAAATAATATAAAAGATTGTTTCTATATTATCACCCTTAATTTAAAACCAAAACATAAAACCATAGGCCACAACTAAACCCCAAATTTGCAGCATATGTGGTAAAAATATAATAAAAAATAATTTTAACTACCGACCGTCATGCAATTAACGGTCCAAATTAACGGATGTAGAAACGGTGTAAAGAAAAGGACGACAATGAACAAAATGTAGGCAGTAGGGGGACGACATTTGGTGTGATTTGAGAGTAGAGGGATGACAACGAACAAATATGAAGTAGAGAGACGGTTATGAACAAAATTTGAAAGTATAGGGATGACAGCTGGCTTTAACCCTTTAATTTCTGACTCCATTAATAGCTGTCATGTCCTGATGTCTAGAGGGGATTACAAGGACCCATTTCACGTGGCGCTGAGCTCTGGGCTCTCACCGCCTAGTCTACAGAGTCTGATGCTGACAAATAGTTGAACATTTTCACCCACTCAATAATTGTACGTTCATACAGTGACATACTGATATTTTCTGTCTTCTATGGGCTAATAATTGCTTTTTCTGAATTGTTTTTCCGGACTTCTGCATAAAGTTGTTCCCTGCTTAGCTTTGCTGGAAGGCAGGCAATGCCACTCGCATTTTGAAAACGTGGGTATGCTATTGGTAAATGGCAACTGGCGAGAGACAAAGGAATCCAAGGCAGAGAAAAAGATCTGAGGAGAGAAACAATAAAAGTAAAAAAATCACGACATATTATAATGACAATTGGGGGCAAGATGTATGTGTTTGCTTTTGTCAATGGTGAAAATTCCAATTCATGGGAAAGACTTGAGGGCACTCATGTTTCCCATTCTTTTGAGTTGGCGTCAAGGTAAAAGGCAAGTTTTATGTGCACCTGCTCGCCATTACATTCAAATGATATTCTCTCATTGGATCGATATCCTTGACGATGGACCTATAGAGAACAAGTTTGAATGGGCAAAGGCATTTTTAGCAAAATAAGGATTAAAAATGAGTATAAACCTTTTGTATTTCATGAGTTGTCCTGTAAGCAAATTAATAGTGTAAAAGTTTAAGGATAAGCCTTCTCAAAATATAAATTGGGTTTTTTAATTAAAC